AACTCCTGTAAGCCAAGATCTACAGTAGATACAACCATGAAAACACTGAAATAATGAAGTCGGGCGCGTCCCAGGGACATGAATAACTGTTTTGGTTCCCGCAACGAAAATGAGTCAGAAGATATTATAAGAGGAGAAGAAAAAAAAACGATAGTTTCCACTTTCCTCAAACTATAAAAAATATGTTGCATTACTCACAGCTGGAAGTTCCTTCGGAGGCTTCTGATGCAACCCTCCCATATACACTACAGATGGAGGCACTGGCCTAATCCCCTCAAACACAGGATGCACATTCAGGAACAACATATCCACATTATTAGCCAATTCACTAATACGAGGAATTTTATTACCAAAATGTTTTCTAAGCATTTCATTTCCTTTAGCTTCATTCCTTGAATACATTTGCACTGTTTTCAAGTGACTGTACAACTCTGTTACCTTTTCCCAAAGACTTAGATTATGCAGTTTTTGTCTTAAAACTGATGGGTAGAGGAATGGATGAACAGCAGCTCCTATCACTTCATAATTACCAGGCGCAGCTCCTAAAGAACTCACTAAAATCACGGGTACATTCTTAAATATGTAAGAATAAACCAAGGCAGGTGGCACACAAGCTTCAATCATTAGCAAGTCATATTTAGTTTCTTTATCATTTATGATTTTTTTCACAGAATCCGTCTTCAATTGTGCCTCGACAACCAAAATAAATGTCCTCAAAATTATATCCATAGCAGAATGCAGGTCATCCTTATTCCCTTTTGAAGCTTCTTTCATGAAATGTTCTTGCCATATTTTGTAGGAAATATCTTGAACGTCAATTTCAGTTAGATTTGGCAATGTTTCTCCTTTGGTAAAGACTGGATTTGGCGTGATGACGGTAACTTCATGTCCTCTTTTAGCTAGTTCTTGAGTTATAGGACGGAAGACTACTTGGTGTGATATGGATGGTACTGGAAATACGGCAAGGATTTTTGCGGCTTCGCTTGCACTTATTATCAAAATAGAACACGCGATTAAATGTAACGCCGACATTGTATCGCGGGCAGTCATGCCGGCATACTAATGCATGTACGCTTATGAAACTGTTTATATATACTTATTTTTATTGTTAGACGTTTTCCTGTACTGCTTTTTACGTTCCGTATCAATCCTCAAGGATGCATTCTAATATCTTATCACTATTGGGTATATGAAAAAAAAGTTTTTATTCTGATTCCCCCTTAATGAGATCAGTAAAAAAAAATAAAAAATGTGGGTGTTACATTTATTCATATGTCTGCCTTAATTCAGCTGGTTCAGTTATGTCATGCTGTAATGATCCATACGTTCAGAGTCCGCGTTGCCCTTGACTGGTATATTATTAATTATTTATTTATCATGCCGCTAGATAGAGGATAAGTTCAAGGTTACGTAAACTAAACAAATCTATTTGTATGAACTGTTCAATCAATATTACGCATAGGCACAAAATTTCTGTGCTGGATTGAATTAAAGATCCTATTGCTTTCTTACCCCCGAGCGTACGGCGTGTCCCGTTTCGCACGCGCCCCAAAGAGCCATCAGGGGGCTTACTCTTGAAACCGATCTCAATGTCAATGTAATTTCAATCCAATAAAATCTCAATAATTATCCAATGTCTAAACTATACAACCCCAATCGTAGCTGCTAAAGTAGCATTCAGAGTACGGAGTATAAAACCAAACTCAATACCATATAGTTCATAAAATATCCACGCAATACGGATGCAATAGGCGCTAGTGTTACAACTCAAGAGTACGAAATTTCACAATGTCAATGTCGATCGATCGGAATTGGATTCAAGAGTAAGCACCCAGACCACCACAGACGGGGCCCAATTGGGCTGATGCCGACATGCAGCCGCGGAGAACGTAAACGGTTACCGGGACTCCGGTTCGAAGTGCAGGAGTAGGAACGGGGTGGTTTTTAGTCAATAAGAGTCTGACACTCCTTCCCACCTCACCCAGGGAGAAGGCTTTCGATGATTTTCCTCCTTAAAAAGTGGTTTTTAAAACACTTAACGTAATGATACTACTTAATATTATACATGCGAAAGTTTGTTAGTATGTATGTTTGTTTGTTTGTTCATTTATTACTCATTCACATCTAAACAGCTGAAGGAAAAGGGACGAACCACTGGTGGAAGCTAGTTTTATAGAAAAAAAAACGAGAACAGGTACAAAGTCCTAAACAACGAGTAATTAACATTTTCGTAATAGATTAACTATCATCAGTTATTTTTGTACATGCATGCATTTTTTTGCAAAAGATAATCTGTGTGAGGAATTATTTGTATTTAAGATCCTTTGGTTTTCTGAATGTTTTTTTTTATTTTTTTATTTAAATAAATAGTGAATCTAGAGTTTTTTTAACTTTGGCTTTGAGCTTCGACCATCACACATTATACTTACCGTTTTTATGCAATTAATTCTACACATAATAAGGTAATATATATACAAGTACTAGTTTCTGCTACTGCTGATTATTGACTGCCTCATTGGCCGATTCCCGAATCGGGAAAAGTACTACTGAGTTTCTTTTTCAAAAACACGTCAGTAGTAGGTAGCATGGAGTCTGGAATTGTGCTCGGTATATGGCAATAGGCTCACCCCCTATTTATACATGGGATTCATAGCATATGGTGAAAAGTGGGTTTTACACTGTACTGTAGCTTTAAGTGCCGTAATGTACCTCTGCCTACTCCTTCGGGGGTAAAAGGCGTGATGTTTGGTTATGTAACTAGTTTTTGTGTGCGCAATCACATTTCTTCGCGTTCCCGAAGGATTTTCGGAAAATCTTTAGTCTAAAAACAGGGTTTTTTAGATAGCTTAGAAAATAGACATGGGATATTTTTACCTACCTACCGAATCGACTTAATAATTCTTGATTTATAAATACTGTAACTAACATAGTTTTTTATACATATATGCACATATAATGTATAGATAAGCACGTAAAGATTTATCAGATAAAATATTTAATCAAAATATAGTAGTTTCTATGTATCTAGTATCAAACATATTGGCTGCGGTTTGGTTAGCAGATGGTAAACTGATAGGTTTTAAGGCTCGGTTTATATCGGTGATATAACAAAGAGAATATATATTTTATTGATAATAAAAAAATGACTTAAAGGTATTGTCATAAAGTTGAAATATGAGAAGAAGAAAAGTGTGGGAGAGCCATGCTTCGGCACGAATGGGTCGGTTCAACCGATGTGGTATAACAGGCGGCCTCACAGGAAACCAACGCATCGTGAAACAATGCTTGCATAGTATTTCGTAGTGCGAGTAAGGTTACCAGAGGCCCAACTAACCCCACCCCTTTCACAATCTCCCCAATCCTTGAATCCCCAACAATCCTAATTCTTAATCCCGAAAAATCTGGTAACGCACTTGTAACGCCTCTGATGTTCCAGATGTCCATTGGCGACGCCGAGTGCATACCATCAGGTGATCCGTAAGCTGGTTTACCAGCTTATCCAATGAAAAAAAAATCTTTGTGTTTCTTTTCATAACATCGTAGATCTTTGTATGTTATGTAGATCTAAATCACTTTAGGTACAATCTTTCTACGCAGCAGCTGGTAAGCGATCAGTGGTGGAAAATTTGGACAATGTTGTTTAATTGAAGTCGTTTCAAAAGGAGAATTTCTACTGATGGCTCATGCAGAGCGGGACGGTAGGCACGGCGAGCTATTTTCCCGTCAGTCAGTGCACATTGGCTGGTAAGTTTCCGTGGCATTTCAACGCCTAACTCGCGGCATAAGCACGCTTCGCTTTTGGTACCATTTTTATAAAGCATAGCAATTTATGTTGTAATCCTTTACCAATACGTTAGAAAGTCCATTAGCAAAAAAAAAATATTCTTAGCCATGCTGTCCCGGTCTGCGTAGGCCGTGAGAAGATGTAAAATATTTTGTAATTATTCTTTACAAACAAAAAGTCGTCACAGTTATAAACGTATCCTAAGAACCAGATACACGAAAAAAGAGATTCTAATCAGTACACATAAACCTTACCTAGGTAACAGTTACTAACTACACTAATCTCAGATAATGTAAAAAAATCTTTTGTAAACAGAAAAAAAGATAAGTTATATAAACAAACGTTGCGACCTAAATGTCTAGACTTTGAAAGACTAAATACACATGCAGCATGTGTTGAACTGATAGATGAAGGATTCTGCATTTGTATTTCTTTTTAATTTATATGCATCTTTATAATGTTACTCATTTTTATAATAACTATCGTGAGACATACTAAATTAACTAAAATCACGGGTTACTCACGTGAATATACTGAGAAAAACCTCTACTAGTTTTGAACCACAGAGGGGTTCTTCCTTATGAGCAGCGTGCGCCGTCGCGGCGACGTCGCGCAGTTCAATGATGATGACTCATTTTCTTAAATTATACATCATAATATAGCCACAAGATGTCTACTTCTAAACAGAAACCTCCTCAAATGACATCTTCACCGGCGGGTTGAAAGTGTTTCCAGTATTGAGCGGCTGCACGGGCTTCCGAACGGCGAGCAAAGGCAGCTCGTCTCCCGTGCAGAAACAGACCTCAGTGTAGGGCACGTCGCGTTCTGCGCGTGCCTTAAGTCAGTCATCAGTTGATCACAGATTGGGTCTAGTAGGGCTGATGCCGATGCGGAGCCGCGGAGGAATTAACGGGTTACCACGTCTCCGGTTCGAAGAGCAGGAGTATGAACAGGGTGGTTTTTAGTCAGTAAGAGTCTGACACTCCCTCTCGCTTCACACAAGAGAGAAGAAGTTATTGGTTTATTTTCCCTGTTTTAAAAAAAAAGCATTGAGCGGCTTCCGAGGACTTTATCAAGTCGTCTCATGCTGTAACAGGACACCTAAACATATTCGTCTTTAGTCGTGTCGCGACAAGATAATAAACGGATTCACAGACAGCAGTGATAATGTGATGATGCGAAAAAATTATCAGTCATTTTTTATTTACTTACTTTATCAGTCACCTTTTATTTTGATTCTCAAATATTTACTTAACACACATTTCCAAGTGAAATACATGACTAAAATGCTCAGTGTCAAAACAGTGAACAATCCTAATAATAAAATGGACACTAATTCTAGTTCGAGGTACTCTGTCCATGACATGTTGGCTGCAGGTCCGCGCAGATGTCTCGCGCCGCCGTGACGCAGCACGTGCTCCGTCCACCACACGGCGCGCTCTAGAGGAGGTTGAGGCAGGTCGTACATCTTATTCCGTAGACTCACAACATTTTGACGATAGCTGAAATAAATAAATTAGTTAAGTACAATCTTTTAAAGTCAGTATCTTCGGAAGAAAATTCAAACTATAACTTTGTTAGCTTGTTCATTTTTTGTACAGCTTAACGTATTCTCGTAGGGGATAAGCACAGTAAATGTTTGCAAGTTAAAAAAGATAGGCCCAATCTAATGCTGCTAGCATCTAACAAGCACTATTTCATCAATCGCTTCCACTTTTAAAATATGCAAAATTATACGTTTAATCAAGATTATTAAAAATAAATTACTCAGCAACTATATCATTATTCTAACTTTAGTCTTACCTCTCATTCCCTATTACTGTTTCAATGGCATTTCTGAATTGTTCTACAGTGAGCGTGTCCAAATCAAGCTTGAGTCCAATTTTGTGATAAACATATCTTTCCACATTGAATATCTGGTCTCCAAACATTGGTATACCAATCAGAGGTACTCCTGCTATTATAGCTTCATCTGTTGATTGTAGACCTCCTTGTGTGATGAATAGTTTCATTTTTGGATGACCTGAGAACACAATTTTTTATCGTGAAAATGTCTGCCACAAGATATCGATTGCTGAACATAGGCCTCCTCGAATGATTTCCAGAATCACCAAGAGTTAAATAATTACCAATTTTTTGCTCTTGTTCATAGATAAAGGTTTTTACAGTATAACTTTTTGAATTTGCATTCAAAAGAGCTTGTCTAAAATTCGATATTTTTTTATACCACGACGGTGGCAAATAAGCACACGGCCCACGTGATGGTAAGCGGTTACCGTGGCCTATATACATAGGCATACGCCTGCAACACCTGGGGCATTACATGCGTCTTGCCGACCCTTAAAAAACCTATAGCACCCATAGCCCACTGGCGGCAGGGACTTCACGAATATCAAAATTGGCGAATGGAACAAGGTTACTCAACAACTTACAATGAAGTTACTCTTCTATAAAAACGAACTTACCGAGAAGGTCTTGCTGTGGCAGCCATTTTGCGATCCTAATATTATCCGTGCGTCCAGGCAGAACATCACCGTTCCATTTCCATAGAACATCGTAAGGCATCTGAGATAGTGTTTTCACGAGAACTTCAATTCTATCACCTGGCAACAGAGTTGGATCTACGTTTGTACCAAAACTTATATATATTACGCCATTTTTAGAAGTGTCTAGATAAGATTTAAGTTCCTGAAAATAGATAAAAATAAACAAAATGAAATTAAATAATAGGTGATCGCTATAGCGCCTACAAAATTAGTGTCAGCAATAAATAATAGATACTATTATTTATGTATTTCTTTTCTATAATTATATTGCTAGTACATTATATCTATTGTAGGTTGTATTGTAGGTATTTTTATTTTGTCTTTTTTTTTTCTTGTACACTTAACTATCCCTTATCTGGTTTCTTATAAATATATCCATCCAAAGGTTGTCTGGAAGAAATCACCATTGTGTGATAAGACCGCCCATTGTACGCATATTTACTTGAATTGTTTGTTTTTAAGCTACTTAAATGTGTACAATAAACCATAAATAAATAAATAATAGTCATTCATTTGTGTCTAAACTATTTGTTGTGCGTATTTGTTAAAAACGCCTAAAAGAATCATGAGAGCAAATATTTAAGTAGAAGTTTTCCAACTAGTTCATGATTATATTAATAACGATAGAAATTACTCTTTATCACTAATTACATTAAGAGATGAATTGCTAAATCACAACCAGAATAAAATTAAGGTGCTTCCATGCTATGTTCATTTTATTCAAAGTTTATTTAAAATACTCACTATAGGAAGTTCTTTGTTAGGTTTATGATGTAGCCCACCAATATACACCACAGACGGAGGCACTGGTCTTACTCCTTCAAAAATAGGATTGACATTTACAAAGAACATATCAATATTATTCTTTAATACCGATATAGGAGGAACTTCAGGACCAAAATGTTTTTTAAGCATAGCATGTTTCCGCATTTCATACTTCTCGTGCATCTTTAAATACTTATAGTAATTATAAAATTCCTTGATCTTGTCCCATAGCGTCAAATCGTACGAATTTTTTATCCTGTTAATCGAAGTGTACAGGATTGGGTGTATAGCTGCCCCAATCATATCAATTTCGTCGTAAGACAGAGACAGCGAACTAATGAGAATCACCGGTGCTTTAAATATGTACGAATATCCCAAAAAAATAGTCTCACTCGCTTCTATTATGAGCAAATCAACGTAGTCTTCTTTTTTGCTCTTGATCAATGCTTTAACATCTTCATGAGATAATTCGGCGTCACTTACTTCACAACCTAAGTCTAAAAATAGTTTTACTTCTTCTAAAACATTTCTCTCTTTGTTTTTTGGTATTTTGTTAAGCGTTGCTGTCCAAATCTTATAGCTGTCATGGACATCTATTTCGGTTAAATTAGGTGGTGTTTTTCCTTTAGGAAATGCTGGATCTGGTGTTATAACTGTGACTTCATGACCTCGTCTGGCTAGTTCTTGAGTTAAAGGTCTGTATACTATTTGATGACTGATTGATGGTACCGGTAAAACTGCCAATATTCTAGCACTTTCAACAGCAAATTCTAATAACGCACTGAATACAAATAGATTTGATAACTGAAACATGGTGGCTAGACCTATTAAGGACAACTGAAACGTGTTTCCATCATAAACTTCTTTATATTCTGAATATATAATTCTAAAAATATTATAAAGAGGAAAGATTTGATTGTAGGTTTGTTTGCATAGTATAGGCTCTAAAACTAATGGACCAAATTTACTAAAAATCACGGGTTACTCAGGGGAATGTACTGAGAAAAACTCTATTGGTTTTGAGCCACAGGGCAGCTCTTCCTCACGAGCAGCGTGCACGGTCGTGGCGATGTCGCGCATAGTCATAGTCGCGGCTTTAACTAAGCCATACCAAATTATTAGTCGGTTCAGTAGACTGTCTAAGTCTAAAGCTTCTGTATTTTTTTTTATGGCATAAGCCGGTAAACGAGCAGACGGATCACCTGATGGTAAGCAATCGATATCACCCATGGACATCTGGAACACCAAGGCGTAACAAGTGCGTTACCGGCCTTTTAGGAATTTCAGGATTGTCGAGGATTCTGTGATTTGGAAGACTGGGGAAGGGTAATTGGGCCTCCGGTTACCTCACTCAGACGACGAAACACAACGCAAGCGTTGTTTCACGTCGGTTTTCTGTGAGGCCGTGGTATCAAAACAAACTTGACAAAAATCTAAATTCTGCAGGAGCAAAGCCGCAGGCGAAAAGCCAGTTATTCGATAATTAGCACGGTTTTTATCTAAATTTGAAGTTTTAATTACGAAGAACAATAAAATGACGTAAGTACAAAATAATTATAACCAAATTCGAGATTCCATTATGATTGTGTCAATTCGTTTTAGACTGGTTTGTGAACAATGATGTACAATTTAACAATTAATATTCCTGCCTCGTTGACCGAGTGGTCGCAAGTGCGACTGCTGGGTTGAATTGAAAGTATTACTGGGTTTTTAAAAAATTCTCAGTAGTAGCACGGAGAATGGATTTGTGCCCGGTAAATGGCAATAGGCTCACCTCGCTCACCTATTACATGGGACTCATAACATAAATAGTGAAAAGTGGATGTTACATTGTGCAGTGGCATTATGTACACCTCTGCCTACCTACCCCTTTAGAGATAAAAGGCGTGATGTTATGTTAATCTGTACCTGTTGTATGTATAATATTCCAAGGCAATTTGGGTTTTAATAAAACTGGTCCTTGTGTACGTAAAGTTAAGACATAATATTAGTTTTTAGTGCTGTGTTTCATTTGAGAATATCCTAAGTAAAAATTGCTACGTGTATTTATATCGATGGCTTTTTGTAATGGTCAGTATGACAGTTTGACGGCAAGGTACTACCTTACCGTAAAATATTATAATGTATGTGGTACTATGGTACGTCACTTTTATGAAGAAAACCAAGTAAAATAGTAACAAAATAATTTTATTCAACAATAAAAAACTAACAACACATTATATTAAACTTTGGTTTGAATTAAAATATTTATTTTAATTAGACAAATAAAAAAAAACATAACAACCTAACGTTTTCCACTAAATTAATTCATATACCTACTGGGTACAATTCACAGATGGCAGTAAAACGTATTTATTTCACTGCAATAAAAGTATTATAAAAATTCAACCAATATAATTGCAAAACTAAGTTTGTTAATTTGTTTGTTTGCTACCCCTTTTCTATCTTGTCTATCTGATTTATTTTGCTATATTTTGCATAAGCACAGCCAATCAAATTATTAAGTATGCATGTAAGAATATCAAGATTAATTCAATATTGTTTATTCAATTCGTCGTGTGAGTGAGGTTACCGGAGACCCAATTACCTTACCCTTACCAAATCTCCCCAATTCCTGAATCCCCAACTATCCTCAAACTCCTAATCCCCAAAAGGCCGGTAACGCACTTGTAACGACTCTGGTGTTCCAGGTGTCCATGGGCGACGCCGATTGCTTACCATCAGGTGATCCGTCTGCTCGTTTACCGGCTTATGCCATAAAAAAATACAGAAGCTTTAACAACAGATATGGCTTATTTGTGTTGTAGCTAGCATGGCTTGAAACTAGTCGAGTTCCTCGTCAAATTATTACGTGAGTAAGCCGAAAACATAATAATTTAGATATGGCTTAGTTAAAAACAATATAATTTGTTATAACAATAATTACTGTTTCTATACTGAATCAATATTGATTTACTTACTTGCTTGCCAAATAACTCAGTTGAGTATTCCATAGCTAGGAGTATTAAGAAAGACGTAGGTGGAAAAATCCGCTGGCAATTAACCCCTACAAAACCTAACTCCTTTTAACCTTACCGGCAATTAAGTACTGTCTTAAAACATTATTATAAAAATAATAGAAAGCTAATATAGATAAGACTAAGGCTAATAATAATACTAAAGCTATGACTAGTACTAATTCCAGTTCGAGGTACTCTGCCCATGACATGTTGGCTGCAGGTCCACGCAGATGTCTCGCGCCGCCGTGACGCAGCACGTGCTCCGTCCACCATATGGCTCGCTCTAGAGGAGGTTGAGGCTGATCACGAATTAAGGTGTTCAGTCTTTGAATGTTGCGACGGTAGCTGGAATAGATGAAATCAATTTTTAATTTTGATGATGGTGTAATCGTCTGAATGGATACTGAAATGAATTAGATAGTAATTCCCTAATCACACATATTTTATTCTTAGACCTTACAAGCTAATAAATTTAGTACGAGAAGTGAGAAGTCCTGCATTATTATTTATTAGTGGAAGCCATAGAAGAAGAAAAACAAAGGACAAGGTAAAAAAATAAACAAGGAAGTATTGCGATGCTAATCCCCAGTAAGTTGTGAATTTACAAAAATGACGCAATTAAATTAAAGACATGGGAATCATGAAGAGGTGTTTAAATATAACATCATCATAACATCACGCCTTTTTATCCACGAAGGGGTAGGCAGAGGTGCACATAGCAACATTTAATGCCAGTGTGCAATGTAAACACCCACTTGTCACTATTTATGTTATGAGTCCCATGTAAAGAGGGTGAGCCTATTGCCATATACCGGGCACAATTCCAGACTTCATGCTACCACTGAGATTATTTTTAAAAACTTAGTAATATTTTGCCCGACCCGGGAATTGAACCCGAGACCTCTGGCCTGGCAGTCGCACTTGCGACCAATCGGCCAATAAGGAGGGAGTTTAAAATAAGAATTGAAAATTAGAGTAAACTATAAACAATACTTTAAAAGAGTTTATTATTCCAATTTAAATAAAAAGGTCGATTAATTTAAATTAGTCGGAATATTCATCTTACCTTTCATTTTGTATAACATCATTGATAGCATTCTCGAATACTTCTTCAGTAAGTGTCTTGATATCCAGATTGAGCCCAATTCTAAGGCGTTCGTATCTTTCCACATTGTACCATTGGTCTCCCCACATTGGAAGACCTATCAGAGGCACTCCAGCTGATATAGCTTCGTCTGTCGATTGTAGACCTCCTTGTGTTATGAACAGCTTTACTTTGGGATGTCCTGTAATTAATTACAATTTACAATTATTATTTACGGCTTTTGTATCATTTGACAATTTTTTCATTGAAGTATTTATTGAGTTTAAAACTATGTGAGATCAATTTTACGTACTTAAGATTTATTTTTGTATTTTGCATTTTTTATGTACTATATAAAAATAAGTCGAGTTTTCCTTCCTGACGCTATAACTCCAGAACGCACGGACCAATTTCCACGGTTTTACATTCGTTGGAAAGGTCTCAGGCTCCGTGAGGTTTATAAAATATAAATTTAAAAAAAATGTTCTTCATCTTTTAATCATCAAACTAAATAACGAAGCCATATGGTGGTGAAACGGAGTTCGCCAGGGTTTGCTAGTTATGAATAAAGTTTTATTATATATTCTTATTAAAACTATGTTCGCTGCAGAGCTCCCTGCTCCATGACACTCATAAGACCATTAACTACAAAAAGTTTTTGACAATGCAATACCTATGAATGAGAGATTTAATAATTGCACCTTTTCTTTATACTTGTAGAGAATTCATGGTTATATTTGTATTTGTATTATTATGTTTGTGTTTAGCAGACAAATACCGGAACACTGAAACGTTACTCAATTTTAAGTCGTGCTTAAATAACCATCTCTGTCATTTTACAAAGAATTTGTGGAGACAGAACTTATTACTAATACTTAAGCGCGACTTAAAATTGAGTAGCGTTTCAGTATTCCGACAAAATTCTACAAAAAATTGTAGATATTAATTGAAATTTTAATTTAATTTTTAATCGATTTCAGTAATCGATACTTACTTAGCAAATCAGTCTGTGGCAGCCACTTAGATAATTTGATGTTGGATCCAATGCCAGCCAGGACATCCTTGTTCCACTTAATGAGTACATCATATGGTACTCTGGACAGGACATCGACAAGAACTTTCAGTTTCTGAGCAGGCAACGTTGATGGTTCCACGTTTGTGCCGAAGCTTACGTAGATCACACCATTTTTGGATGAGTCCAAGTAATTTTGTAAGTCCTGGAAAATTATGATTACTGGTAAGATATGTGATAGGTAATTATATGTGTCCTGAATGCAATTTTGAATAAAGCTAATTAGTTTATATCGTGTTTTATTCCTGATGGCTGGACTGCGTCGTTGGCCGAGTGGTCACAAGTGCGACTGCCGGGCAAGGGGTCTCGGGTTCGATTCCCGGGTCGGGCAAAGTATTACTGGGTTTTTAAAAATTCTCAGTAGTAGCACGGAGTCTGGAATTGTGCACGGTATATGGCAATAGGTTCACCCCCTATTACATGGGACTCATAACATAAATAGTGAAAAGTGGGTTACATTGTACAGTGGCATAATGTGCACCTCTGCCTACCCCTTCGGGGATAAAAGGCGTGATGTTATGTTATGTTATTCCTGATTCATTATTATTTTGTACATACATACATATATAACTTCACGCCTGTCTCCCATGGGGGTGGACAGAGACTACGGAACGCAAATTACAATTATTATTTTGTAATAGTGATTTATGATTTAATACTAACAGAAAATTTGCCCATTTTTAAATGGACAAGAAAATATAAAGTGATAATTTTTCACTCAAAATCAGTTACGGCTGCCTAAACTAACGATCATCTAAAATTAATTACTCAAACAAAATATTTACCTTTGGCAATTCTTTTTCAGGAACCTGATGAATACCACCAATGTGCACAACAGACGGAGGTACAGGATAGTTGCCTTCAAAGATCGGATGGAGATTCAAGAAGAACATTGCTACGTTATTATACATTTCTTCAATTGGAGGTAGATCAGGTCCAAAGTGTGACCTGAGCATATTGTTTTCATAAGCATAGTTCTTGTTTAACATCACCTCAATATTGTACCGGTAGTACAACTTTACAATTTTGTCCCACATGGTCAAATTATTAAATCTTCGACTCATATTATTGGCGTACAGCAATGGGTGGGATGGAGCACCCATCACATTGTAATTATCCAAAAACGGTCCAAACGAACTGATCAAAATCACTGGCGCTTTATAAATATGAGAGAATACAACGGCTGATCTAACACAGGCTTCGGCTAATATCAAATCAAATTTTTGACTTTTATCATTCAGTAATTTTTGCACCTGTTCTTCTTTTAATTCCACATCGAGCACTTTAGGCATTAATTTCATTATAATGGCATATTCGGATAATATTCCATGGATTTCTCCTATAGCTATGTCTTGAATGTCATCTCTCCACATTTTATAAGCTACATCATGGACGTCGATTTCTGTGAGATTTGCAGGGGTTTTGCCTTTCGGAAAGGCTGGGTCTGGAGTGATGATTACCAGCTCATGGCCTCTCCGAGCAAGTTCTTGGGTTATAGAACGAAATACAACTTGGTGACTGATCGATGGTACTGGGAACACTCCGAGAATTCTAGCGGCTTCATTTGGTACGAACACCAAAGTGAAACACGTGACAATGAACAACGGGAGCGCCATTGTACGTGACCTGCTTGATTGGAGTCGAGAAGTAAACTGATCAATTTATTCGAATAAAGATCTATTTATACAAGGCAGTGGCAAGGAGATAATAAATACTGCTGTGTAATACTTTGAAATAACCGTTACAATTCAACATTTGAATTAGAGATAATCGATTGCATAATGTTATGAAATAGTATTTTTCCTTCATGGCAATAACTGACCAATGTACTGAACATAAGGACGGGTTTTAAGCATGTGATTTAAGATCAAGATCAGTGGTGGGACGTAGCAACATGGAAATATTTATAAAATTAATGACCTTAATCAATATCATAGATTCAGTCTAACTTCTGTATTATATATAACCTTAAAATAGATAGACTGACAGGGGAAATAGATAAGATGGGTCACCTGATGGTAAGTGATATATACGCCAATGGACACCAGTAACCCGCAATACTAGAGAAGTTAGTATAGCTTAGTGATTTGTTAGGATTTTTAATTAAATTCTTTTTACTTAGTCCTATTATTTTTTTTTATTTAAATTGCTTTTTTATTGCAGATGCTCTATAAAATCGTTGTATATATGTTTTTTAATATTATTATATATGTCTTTACCATTCACGGGACCACAGGGTCCCGGTCATTTAGGAGGCGTACGAGGGGCCGAAGCCAACTGCGCAGAGGCCCTTTAGACAACTTCAATCTATATGTAATGGACACACAAACCGGCGACTATCCCTGTATGCACTATAGAAATGCACCCAAGGACAGTCCCCGGTTAGTGTAGAATTATTGTGGAAAATGGAAAAAAAATAAGGGTATGCGGCGGACTGGTAAATTGGAAACTATGGATGACTATGGCACCTGCCGAAACAATGTAATTATTACACGTAAAAATAGCAGGCGGAGACTCGCTAACTCACCGACCGGGCCCCGAGAATAGTTGCTAAATATAGCAACAGAGGGACAACGAGAATGTGAGTGGGTTAAGAAACTACCACCGCTTTCTACTCAGATCATCTACTCCAGCCGAATCCTCTTGCATCCCTGGCTTACTTGCGACTTAATAGTTTCTTATCCTCCGAGCAGGATAACTGCTCTCGCGACTCCACTCTGGACTGTCAATGAAGGCAAGCCAGAGGTGGGAGACATGTTCCTTGCCATCGTTCACTCCAGCCAGCCAATAAAGGTAAGCCGGAGAGTAAGGAACGGTGACTTCTCCCTGGAGCACTCGGGATGATGGTAGCCCGCGGGGTCGCTAATGCCCGTCACCTCGCCTCAAGGTGCCCTGCGGGCTTATTATTATTCACATATATTTATTTAAAATTCTCTACAATTTACATTTTTAAATACTACTTAAAATAAAATAAAAAAAAAACATAAAAAATAGGAGTCGACCAGTAGCGGGAGCATGGTCCAAGCTACCGGTGGTTAGGGGTCCAGAGACAGAAACCTTCCCACAATACGTGCCGTTTCTAGGAGAAGAGCCTTCTGTATTAGGCCCTTGATCCATCCACCTAACGCCAACCTCCTGAGATTATTATCCTATTAATATTTTATGTATTGTATATAGCATATAGCTACAGGCAAGTGCTGAAAATCAGCGCCGCGACTCGAGTTATTGCGCTTAAGCTGAGAGCTGAAGCCTTTTTGCGCCGTCTTCACTGTTTTTTTTTAAATATTTTTTTCGTGTTATTTTATTTCGTGACGGTGATTAAATGAACTGTTTCTTTCTTTTCTTTTATTTAAGTTGCTGGTGTTGGGTTTGAGTTATGTATTAACCTGTGAAGTGACGGAACAAAGATCTATGACACAATATGTTTTCTATTGTGTCTCATATACGACAGACAGGAGGTTAAAAGTAGTAATAGATAGTACAAACAACAAGAATTATATTTTTTTAAATATTTATTTTGTTAATTAGAAAGAGAGAAAGACAGAAAGAAAGAAAGAAAGAAGGAAGGAAAGAAAGAAAGAAAGAAAGAAGGAAGGAAAGAAAGAAAGAAAGAAAAGCCATTTATTTTGCTACGACACACAACAAGAATTTAGGAACACACAAAAATGTCTATGGTGCGTCGCAGCGCAAAAGGATGGAGCTCAGCTTAATACCGTGGACCGGGCACAGAGGCTCGAGCCCACGGCGCTGATCTTCAGCACCAGCCCGTTATAGTACGTACTAGTTATACACCTACAATAACGCTGTTCGGAGCACAGCATGATGTAAATAATAAAAATACACATTAATTACACACAATAATTATAAATACACAATTTTTGTCTTAAATTACTCAACTGAAACAACTTATGTCAACGTGAAATAAATAGGAATTTGGAGATTTTGTCTTGGGTATCAGATCATGAGCACTTTGACAGTTTTAGATATAAATCTATATTTAAATGACACATCATCATCATCAACAGCCTATAAATGCCCACTGCTGAGCAAAGCCTCTTCTCACACGGAGAAGGTTAGAGCATTAATCACCACGCTTGCTCAATGCGGGTTGGCGATTTCAAACTTATAATTAGAAATTATAAGCCCAGGTTTCCTCACGATGTTTTTCCTTCACCGTTTGTCAGTGGTGTCTAAATAATCTTAGAAAGTACATATAACTCGGAAAAAGTCACATTGGTACTTGCAGTTGGTAGGTTCCGAAATGACACGTTGCTTACTAAATATAGTATAATTAATACAAAAGTGAGTTTATGTATAACATAGTGATGTGTTTTTACAGTCTAGAGACAGTGAAGTTTTACAGGCGTGGTTGATATTTTAAAACATAAATCAAGACAATGACTGCCTCATTGGCCGAGTGGTCGCAAGTGTGACCGGGCAAGCGGTCTCCGGCTCGATTCCCGGATCGGGTAAAGTATTACTGAGATTTTTCAAAATATTCTCAGTAGCAGCACGGAGTCTGAACTTGTGCCCGGTATATGGCAATAGACTCACCCTCTATTACATGAGGCTAATAACATAAATAGTGAAAGGGTATGTTACTTTGTACAGTGGCATTAAGTGCCGTAATGTGCACCTCTGTCTATCCCTTCGGGGATAAAAGCCGTGATGTTATGTTATTATATAAATCGAGACAAATATTAAGTCGAGCGAAGGCTTATGCTTTAAGCTGGTAATTGAAAATTATGTTTTGTATCTATAATAACAAAAATTGGTTAACGTGGTCCCCTTCTTGGAATAAGTCCACAGTACATTATGTAAAGAGAAACTAGGTAATCACATATTTATTTATTTATTTATTCACTACAGCTTACGCTATTAAGTTATACTATTAATATTATATAAATACTATAATTTAGGTACTTAAAAACAAACTAATAGGTAATCTAATTAAACATAAAAAATAAAAATAAATACAGATTAACAAAAAACTATACAATTGAATAACAAAATTGGTAATCATAGTAATTGTAACTTATTAACATAATAAGTGTACCTATGTTTGCGAGTACACCTTTGCTTATCATCCCCTGCGAAATGACAGGCACTTTAATCTTTATCTAATACATCTCTATCTAGTCTCCATTAAAATTTTATCATTTGTTATCCTTCTATACTAAATGATGCGTACAATCTATGAATAATCACAAAAAAACCCATTAAATAACTATAATCATCACGCGCGCTTAATTTTAATAACATCGACATATTTTCGTAAAACTTTGTCATATATATACTTTGCTAGCAGAACGATAGTAGCTGTGGTGATGATCAGAGCTAGGAGAAGTGTTAGTACTAGGTCTAGTTCGAGGTACTCTGCCCATGACATGTTGGCTGCAGGTCCGCGCAGATGGCTCGCGCCGCCGTGACGCAGCACGTGCTCCGTCCACCACACGACTCGTTCTAGTGGTGACATTGGTTCATCAGTCATCAGCTCGCGTAGTTTCTTTATATTGCGACGGTAACTGGAAATAATGGAAAAGTGGAATAAGTATTCAGCATTTATCATTACCGTCATCATCCCATCTGCTGCTGAATAAAAATATTCAGTTTTTTTCGCAAACGCTGAAGGAAAACATCGTGAGGAAACCTGGACTAGTTACTTCTAATTATAAGTTTAAATCGCCAACTCGCATTGAGCAAGCGTGGTGATTAATGCTCAAACCTTCTCCGTGTGAGAAGAATACTTTGATTAGCATTGGCCACTTATAGGCTGTTGGTGATAGTTACACAATTACATTTTTCATTACATATCATTCATACATCAGTAGTGTAAGAGAGCCATGCTTTGGCACTAATGGGCCGGCTCGACGGGAATAATACCACGGCCTCACAGAAAATTGACGTGAAACCACTTGCGTCGTGTTTCGCCGTGTGAGTGAGGTTATGCGAGGCCCAATTACCCCTCCCCCCTCCCCAATCTCCCCAATTCCTGAATCTTAAGAACCCTCAAATTCCTGATCTCCAAAAAGTTGGTAACGCACTTGTAACGTGGTATGGTATCTATAGGCGACACCGATTGCTTAGTATCAGTGAGAACAAAAAAAAAGTCTTTGCGGATATGATAAAATATGGAATCCTTTGTTTTCAAAAGTTGCTAACGTTGCATTTAGTTAAAGAATTCTTCGCAAGTCATCTGTATCACTGTAGCCGTATTTCTACTGACAACCAAATAAATGACATTGATAAGAGAATAGCTATGTAAGTCTACATAATTAGTCAATATTATTATCTTGTCTGATATAATTTCTACAAGCAATTTTCCGATAAATCTATTTTGGTCCCACATTATAGATAGCATTCTACTAATACTATAAATGCTGAAGTATATATGTTTGTTCATTTGTTAGTCCTTCACGTCAAACCTGATGAAGGGATCGGGATGAAATTTGCAACAAGGATAGATTATGGCCTGGATCAATACATAGGCTACGTTTTATAAGGAACGTGGGTAAACCCCCTCCTTCTTGAAGTCGGTTAATAATTATACTAAAACCTTCTCCTAAGTGTAACAAACACTTGAAAATGGGTTCAGCCATTTGCGAGATAATCGCGCACAAACATACATACATACAGGTCAAACTGAGAACCTCCTTTTACTCTACTTTTTATGAAGTCGGTAAATATAGAGGTATAAAACTAGCAGCCCGTCCCTGCTTCGCACGGGGTAGACAATTATTTATTTTTGGAAATTTGTAGTGACATAACTACAATAGTTGGACATATGCTACCGCGGAGTTTTTTGTAGACATTATGATGTTCTTCAATATTGTTGTCCATTATTTTGTTCTATCGCTAATAGTTTCGGCAGCGCATTCGACGAAAGACATTTTAAGACTTATTTTTCTACACCTTCGGTTACATTGTTAAAATTTTACTAAGGATCCCGAATTTTTTTCAAAATGAAATGTAGCCTATGTCAAATTGTAAGAATGTAGCATTCTATTGGTGAAAGAAATTTTTAAATCGGCCCAGTACCTTTTGAGCCTATTCATTACAAACATACAAACCTACAAAAATAGGTACAAATCTTTCCTCTTTATAAATTAGTATAGATAACTTAAAAAACGGATCATAATACCAACCTGTCATCATCAATGACTTTGTGTATCGCATTTTCCAGATCTTCATCAGTAATGGTGTCTAATTCCAGTTTGACTCCAATTTTTAGTTTTTCATATTTGACCACATCGTACCATTGGTCTCCATACATTGGAACCCCAATCAGAGGTACTCCTGCGGTTATAGCCTCATCTGTTGATTGCAGACCTCCTTGTGTGATGAATGCTTTGATTTTTGGGTGTTCTGTAAAATGTCGAATGATTGAATTATTGCGTGCTGTATCATTAACTCGTCGAGTACCGGTTTTATAGACACAATTAAAGAACAATAGGTCGCAGTCACCGGTGACCGCTCGGTGTTTGACAGATTAAACGGCAGCAGAAGCGGCGAGCATCGGAATGACGTGGAGCGAGGTGAAGCGAGAAGCTCCAGATCGATCGAGATGGAGAACCTCTTTGGACGCCCTCTGCCCCATCTAGGGGACATAGGACTATAAGTCAAGTATCATTAAACTTTTTACAGGTATGTGAAGACATAAACCAATGGAATAACCTGTGTAAAAAAATGTGTCTGGTTCAAAAGACGTGTTATTGTTAATTTACGGGATAACTTGTGTAATAGTGTTTTGTATCTACATTGTAAAGAGAAACAAAACTGTGAGTATTATACAAATGAAATTTAAAGACTGAAAATAGGTGCGTTAGCCTGCATAGTCATTTTTATATCATGTTTCTTGTAAACTGACAGTGTCTGTTTTATAATGTCTGTATGCTTTTTTATGGTAATAAAGAAATTGTATACAAAAAAAATGGAATAACATTTTACTGTTAATGAGAATTTCGGAATTCAGAAAAGCCCTTTAATGCCTACTGTATATTAATGGTGTTTGGTGGATTCTTATTATTTTCTATGAAATAAATAGGTGTACGTTGTTTGTATGTAGAGGTATAAAACCTAACTTTTAGCTAGGAAGCATAATGTTTTTGTTTCAGAAATTAAAAATGATTTTTAATACTATAAAACAGATGAGGCTTTTACATTTCTTAAGGCGTTATTTATAAAGTAAACTATCAAAAACATTGCTACGTTTTTCACCAAATACATTCAGATACAGCAATACCTAGTACAATTCTATACAAAATATCTATTTGCTACAACAACTAGACTTACTCAGCAGGTCGGACTGTGGAAGCCACTTAGATATCTTGATATTGTCTGTTCGTCCCGGCAGTTCGTCCTTGTTCCACTTCCATAGCACGTCGTAAGGCAATCGGGAGAATGTTCGTACGAACGTTGCAATTTTCTCCGGCGGAAACAATGCTGGATCCACGTTGGTTCCAAAACTGACGTAAATTACGCCATTTTTAGAAGAATCTAGGTATGATTTTAAGTCCTGTAAGAGAACATTGTTTTGGATAAATTTAATTAGAATTCATTTATTGGCACACACAAGTTAGATTACATGTAGACATGGAAGCGATAACATCACGCCTTTCATCCCCGAAGGGGTAGGCAGAGGTGCACATTATACCACTGTACAATGTAACACCCACTTTTCACTATTTATGTTATGAGTCCCATGTAATAGGGGGTGAGCCTATTGTCATATACCGGGCACAATTCCAGACTCCGTGCTACTACTAAGAATATTTAAAACCCAGTAATACTTTGCTCGACCAGGGAATCGAATCCGAGACCCCTTGCTCGGCAGTCGCACTTACGACTACTCGGCCAACGAGGCAGTGAGGAAGCGAACAGCATTTATGTACATAAACGCAAACACGACAGAGGTGCCCGTGGGCCCCAAACTCGGCACAGCCTGTATCTTGGTGGCCCAGTGGTAAAGATTTTGACTAGTTCTCGCATCATGGTTTTGACACAGTGCAACCATACCATAACAAATAGATCGTGTTATAAATGTCGTGTTGGAGGTTTAAGACTCATCTGAGTCTCATGTATAAGGGTGCAGGTCCGAAACCTACCAACGGAAAAACCTACCAATATACTTTCTAAGATAGTGTATAATTTATACACTACTGACGAACGGCGAAAGAAAATATCTATTTGTTTCAATTATATAATGTTTTCAATTATTTACATCACGTTCTTAGTATTCCCTAAATATCTAGTCGAATTGGAAGGGCTGTAAATCGTGTTAAGCAATATTTAGGTATTCTTAACGATATTATAAGATATCGTTAAGAATACCTAAATATTATTATAAGAAATGATAATAAATAATGTTAATATTTAAAGATAAATACAAGTAAAGCGATGTAAAGCTTACCTGAGGTAGAGGCTTGTCAGGAATCTGATGAATACCACCCATGTGTATAACAGAGGGAGGAACGGGATGGTTTCCTTCGAAAACTGGATACAGATTCAAGAACATCATAGCAACATTGTTGTTCATCTCTTCAATCGAAGGAAGGTCTGGTCCAAAATGTGATCGAAGCATTCGATTTTCTTCAATGTAGTTGTTTCTATGTATCATTTCAATCATTATGTAATCGTATAAATGTCCAATTTTTTCCCATAAAGATGTACTATGCAATCTTCTACTCACAGTAAAAGGATACAAAAATGGATGGATAGGCGCACCCATAACTGCGTAATTGTCACTGAACGTTCCAAAGGAGCTCATCAGGATCACTGGAGCTTTGTATATGTGCGAAAGTACTACCGCAGGTCTCATCATCGCTTCAACGATTATCAGATCAAATGTCTGGTTTTTATCGTTAAGCAATCTTTGCACTTCTACGTCTTTTAACTGCGTATCTATTATTTTTACAGTTAGCTTGTAAATTATATTAAAATCTTTTACTAAATTCCCTTTTTGGCCTTTTGGTGTAGCCACAAATTGTTCGTGCCACAGGCGGTATGATGCATCGTGGACATCGATCTCAGTGAAATTGGCAGGAGTCCCTCCTTTAGGAAAGGCTGGATCTGGTGTGATGACTGTTACGTCATGGCCTCTCCGAGCGAGTTCGTGCATCAGTGGTCTGAATACGACTTGATGACTGATAGATGGAAATGGAAAAAATCCCAGAATTCTGGCACCATCATTGGATGGTATTGAAAAAGCGAAGCAGGCAACTACTACCAAAAGATTTACTAGAGACATGGTAGTTTGTGGCTTGGAGATTGTGAACTGTTCGGTCACCTAACTGCCTGATAGTATTTATTAGACGTCCACTCAGTGTCGTGCTCATGACTTTGAATATTGTTATCGCTTATTGTCTCACAACATGACCGTGCATTTTACAATTACCTTATTTATTGAGCAACATATGGAGTCAATTCACGTCAATTTATTGAACAGCGTCGTATCATCATCTTGTATAACGTCTAGTCACAACTGTTTGTTTAAGGAGCGATTACACTATGATGTATTTATTAATTTATTTATTTAAACTTTAATGTATACAGATACCAGTAATGGTACATAAGGCGGACATACCATATGGCATTTTCTCCCAGTCAAGTTAAATAGGAAATCGGCGAAAAAATAGGCATGTGTAAGGGCATAAGAAACGAATAACATAAATCGACTATAAATATAGTAGATACTAAAAAATATTTAAAATGTACACTACATTATAATTACATTACTTATAACATAGCATCACATCTTTTAGCCCCGAAGGGGTAGGCACAGGTGCCCATTATACCACTGTACAATGTAACACCCACTTTACACTATTTACGGTTACGAGTCCTATGTTATAGGGGGTGAGCCTATTGCCACATACCGAGCAGGATTCCAGACTCCATGCTACTACTGAGCATATTTAAAACCCAGTTATATGCTTCGCCCGACCCGGGAATCGAACCCGAGACCCCTTGCCCGGCAGTCGCACTTACGACCACTAGGCCAACGAGGCAGTATAAATACAACATAGATATATAGGTTTTTATTTATTTAGCATATACCTATATATACTAAATACTAAAAAGAAAGAACCCCTCTGTGGTTCGAAACTAGTAGAGCTTTTCTCAGTGTATTTCCGTAAGTAATCCGCGATTTTTAGTTAATATTTTGGCATTGTTTGTCTTTTACATTATTTTATGTTTTGTTATGTGTATTTTTATGATCTATGTAATTGATTGAAATTAATGGTTAAAAATAATTAAAGCAAAACAGCTGGGCCGCCTTGAGAATGTAGCTGAGAAATGCAACGAGAATCATCGCTTAGTTAAGATACCTATTTTACTCAAAAAGTTTGCAAGTAAACTTGCTACTGGACTTGCGAGTGTAAATGAGCCTTAACACTATCAGCAAAAATGGTGATAACCTCGTATTAAATGAATATTGTAATTTTAATCGTTGTTGATAACTGGCTTATTCTACATTTACGATGATTATAATTCTATAGTAATTAAATGTAATGATACGTTAGTTAAAATATTTGCAAACACCTGGTCGACGTATGTCGTGACCGAAGGCCTGGTGTGTTCCTCCGTCAGAGGTTAAGCATTGCCATACAACGTGGTAATGCTGCCTTCCTTCTGGGTATTTTCCCAGCTGATATAGACTTTTTTATTGACGGAGGAAAATCATCCAATAACTTGTTTCGCCTTGGGTTAGGCGAGAGGGAGTGTCAGTCCCTTACTGACTAAAATCCACCCCGTTTGTACTTCTGACTTCGAGCCGGAGCCCCGGCAACCCTTTAGGCCTTCCGTGGCTCTGTGAGAGAAAAAAATGTAATGACAGTAAATTAGTTGGAAAAACACCAGGTGCTTGATTTGCGTAATTTCTTTTTTATACTAACTATTTTCGCGCAGGGAGGGTGTAGGCAGTGTTGGGCGTAGTTAACTACTATTTTGTGATCTGATTAATAACTAAGATTAATGTAGTTCACTATATGTAGTTACGATTACATTGCCTTTTATTTTTTTAAAAAAGCGATTTTATTTTTAGAATAAAAATAAAATCGCTTTTCTTGAAGGTTTGAAGGTTGTATCGGTTCGAAAATACCGCCGACGACAGATCATTCGACAGTTTTAATGTGCGAGGCAGATAGCTACATTTATTTTGTAGTTATAATTTGCTTAAAGTACGCTAAATTACGCAGGCAAAGTTGTGTATAAAGGCTAGTTCTTTTATATAACAATTCAAAACTTTCCACGTTGATCATCGCCTGATAAAATACAAGGAACTAAAGTTATATCTCAAATAAAACAAAATTAAAAACAGATTACAAATACACATTTATAGATAAAAGCACGCAAATTAATTGTGTTCATTACAATCAAATTTCCTGTAAACAAAATGACAGACAGATAATGAAAACTAGAGATATCTAAATTATGTCTAACTAGCTTTTGCCCGCGGCTTTGCCCGTGAGATAAAAAGTAGACTATGTGTTGTTCCATAATCTTTGTTCCAAATTGTAACTCTCGTCAGAGTATCGCCGCGTCGCGGATTGCGGTATGCTGCTTATAAATAGGCCGGCATGGCTTGAAACTAGTCGAGTTCCTCGTCAAATAATTACGTGAGTAAGCCGAAAACATAATAATTAAATTTTAACTCAACCTCTTCAGCCATTTTGACGTTAATCAGTAACAAACATACAGACAAAAACATTTTTTTGCATTTAGCAATATTAGATTTAGTAAGTACATTTTGATAAGGGCTTTTGGGATAGGAAGATGTTTAAACTAAAAATCGTTATCATATCAACAGCCTTCAAGTGATAAAAAGCCTCTGATGAGAAAAGTCCTCTTCTTTTCAGAGAATTGTATTGTAAACCCGATTGAAAAAGAGTAACCTATGGAGTTTCTTGCTCGTTCTTCTCCATAGGAATTTACACCTTGGAATGACCAACTAGCTTCACTTCTAATTTTTTTTTGTGTTGACGTTCAAAAGTGCCTTCCTGGTCTAATTGAAATAAATGATTTTGACTTTGACTTTTGACTTCTTACATTGAGAAAGTCATAGTCATTTAAAGATAAAGATAAAGATATGTTAATTTCTTTCTTTCTTTTTTAAGGATAAATAAACAAAAAAAGTATTTAATCTAGAGGTAATTCTTAATTACGCACTTTTGAAATGTGAAAATTGAATAGTTCGTCAGTATGTCTGTCAGTGTCGTGTTGGCCCGGAGGTTTAAGACGCCAGCTTCACATGCATGAGGGTGCGGGTTCAAACCTACCAACGGCAAGTACCAATGTGATTTTTTCCGAGTTATATGTACTTTCTAAGATTATTCAGACACCACTGACAAACGGTGAAGGAAAACATCGTGAGGAAACCTGGGCTTTTAATTTCTAATTATAAGTTTGTAATCGCCAACCCGCATTGAGCATGCGTGGTGATTAATGCTCAAACCTTCTCCGTCTGAGAAGAGGCTTTGCTCAGCAGTGGGCATGTTGATGAATGATGTCTGTCAGAGACGTCAGGTGGTCGTTCCAAAGTGAAGGTCGTTCGAAAGAAGAAGAGCCAGAAACTGCATTGTTACTTATCATCACTACGCCTGTTGATGATGACGTTTCCAAGGTTTTCAAAAAATATTCATAATTCATTCTTATCTTTAAATCTGGCCTGAGCTCAGTCAGAATTGACAGACAGGAAAAATTCAACAAAATAAATGATAACGCACCATAATTATCACAATACTAATCACCTGATATTTTGTCATAATATGTATAGAATAAATCAGCGTTTTTTAATTAAAGTTACATAACGTAACATCACGCCTTTTTGTCCCCGGAGAGGTCGGCACAGGTGCATATTACGGCATTTAATGCCACTGTACAATGTAACACCTAGGTAATTTTCATTATTTATGTTATGAGTCCCATGTAATAGGGGGTAATCCCATTGCTATATTATACCGGGCACATTTCCAGACTCCGTGCTACTATTGAGATTTTTAAAAACCCAGTAATACTTTGCCCGACCCAGGAATCAAACTTGCCCGACAGTCGCAATTGCGACCACTCGCCCAACGAGGCAGTCTATTTATTATAACATGTATTTACATTTATGTTAATTGTATGTGGATTATGTGGGTACTATTATGAATTGGCGCGGTGGTCGGGCAACTGGTTACCGCGTAACGTGTCACGGGTCTGATTCCCACACGGAACAATTCTTTGTGTGATCCACAGATTGTTGTTCCGGGTCTGGATATCATGTGTATGTGAACTTGTATGTTTGTAAACGCACCCACGACACAGGAGAAAATCCTAGTGTTGAACAACGATTTTTACAAAAAAAGTAATCATTAAAAAATTAAAAGACCCAGTGTCAGTCCTCTTTACACTGCCTACTTTTTTTCCGAAAAGCACCGTTCAGTCACCTTCAAAGGGTTTCTTCATTACCAGAAAAGGGTGTTAAGAAACCATATTGCACTGATCTCAAATGAGAATAAGAAATGGTTACGCCAAAATTATGGAAGAATTAATGTGTGCTAATATGTGCAGCGTCTAAACACAAATGCCTGTGCAAAATTGCTAAAGCATAAAAAGGGCTGAAGTAAAAAATAAAACAAGAGATACAATAAATACGCAGGCAGTTCTTTATTCACATAACTTTCTAATTCACAATCTTGAACAACATTATGGACGTACAGATAACACAAAACTGTATCAAAGCATAAATAAATCAGCAAAATTCACAATCAGCTTCGTTTCAATTTGACGTACTGACTTAATTGTTGATTTAAGGTTTTTAACATAAATCTAGAAGACACAACCAATATTATTATTATAACTAATATAATAAATAGTAAAGTGAACACTAATTCCAGTTCGAGGTATTCTGTCCACGACATGTTGGCTGCAGGTCCGCGCAGATGTCTCGCGCCGCCGTGACGCAGCACGTGCTCCGTCCACCACACGGCGCGCTCTAGAGGAGATTGAGGCTGGTCACGCATTGCACTGTGTAGCTTAACAATGTTTTGACGGTAACTGAAAAAAAAAAGTTATTAGAATGATTAGAATATGAGGTGTTATTTTGATTTTAAAGAGAGATATCTTACCAAGAGAAAGCTGTCAGAGGATTGTACTAAAGATATTATTAATCATGAGAAAAACGGAGTTGAACGAAGCGATAGATACCACGGCCTCACAGAAAACTGACGTGAAACAACGCTTGTGTTATATTTCTTCGGGTGAGTG